TTGCTCTCGAGTACTCATCTTCAACATCTTATGTTTCCAGGGAAGATACCGCATCTGCTTGAGGAACAGATAGGGCAAGTGCGAAGGATACAAGGAAGCATGTGGAGACAAAGCGTAACAGCACACGTGCCGATACATCCATTACTCTGTCAAAAGCAAAAGTATCCCATATCAGCAGGGTCGAACGTACTCTAGATTTGATGAACTTGTTTTGACCCTCAAATTCTTCAGTCGGCTCTGGAGGAAACCAGAAAACCCTCCAGCTCAGTTCAAGAATAAGCCTGTGGAAAGTTACTTCTTCAAAAGCAAAAGTATCCCATATCATATCTTCTCATTTTTCTTCTCTTTATCCTTCATGCTGCTGCAAGATGGGGAGAAGGTGAACAATCAGCCGGAGCTCTGATTGCTTACCTTGTCTGTCACCTCTTTCAGCAGATCCCCTAACTCGGCGACTTGGGGGACTCCTACTACATGGTTTGTATCGCGCTTGACCAAGCCTGAAACTACAAGTAAGCTTCAAGTGAAATTGATACATTACCTTGTGCATTTCCACCAGTTAAAGATACCACCCCTGGATGGAGGAAGAGTACTTCCAGAGAAGATGCCACATCTACCTATGAGACAGATAAGGCAAGTCAAGACGATACCACACTCCGATACTTAGAAGTTTCGTGATTACGAGATCATTCTTTCACAATATTTCCTAATGTCATTTGTACTAAATCATTCACTTGTACTCACTAAAGGAGAGCTTGAACCTATGTACTTGTGTAAACCCTTCACAATTAATGAGAACTCTTCTATTCCGTGGACGTAGCCAATCTGGGTGAACCACGTACATCTTTGTGTTTGCTTTCCTATCTCTATTCATTTATATACTTATCCACACTAATGACCGGAGCAATCTAGCGAAGATCACAAAAAGCGACCGTTTTTGCTGCCTAGGATCTATCTTGCAAGAGAGACGGAGAATTAGATGGAGATCTCAACCATAGAATACGAGCTGGATGGATGAAGTGTAAGAGTGCATCCGGCGTGTTATGTGACCGTCGTAGGCCACTGAAGCTCAAGGGAAAATTTTATAGGACGACAATAAGGCCAACGATGTTGTATGGCACCGAATGTTGGATGTTTGGACGGTGAAGCATCAACACATACACAAAATGGGTTGTAGCGGAGATGAGGATGCTTCGTGGGATGTGTGGGCACACGAGAAAGGATAAGAGATTGGGCATGAGGATATCCGAGGTAAAGTAGGAGTAGCCGAAATTGAAGGAAAGATGAGAGAAAATCGGTTCCGGTGATTTGGACATGGGCAAAGAAGGCCGACTGACGCTCCGGTTCGAAGATGTGACTACGGGACAGAGGTTCAGGGCCAAAGGGGTAGAGGAAGACCTAGGAAAACTTTGGAAGAGACTCTAAGAAAAGACTTAGAGTACTTGGATCTAACGGAGGACATGACACAAAACCGAGCGCAATGGCGTCCTAGGATTCATATAGCCGACCCCACTTAGTGGGAAAAGGCTTTGTTGTTGTTGTTGTTGTTGTAGAGTAAGAAGTTAACCGGATTACATCTGACTGGCTTTACTACTTTTATTGGCATTAGTAATAACGAAAAGGTTACGTTCATGCATGTATGGCCTAAAATAATATTTTCAGAAAATTATTGTAATGTAATGCTAAATCACGTGGTATGTTGGCGTGTCATAGCATATTGGCTTAGTTTTTTTCTTTTTCTTTTTTCTTTTAAGTTTAATTAGTAATGATTGTTCAAGTATTATAATTTATATGTGAGTATCTAACACTACGTCACCATATTTGTCAACTTAAATATTAATTTCTTAAAAAGAAAAAATTATCATCGAGTCTTGGTTGTGTTTTTAACCCTTTGTATTTTAATTGTAGGGCTTCATCGATGTAGGTCCGAAGTTGCATTACTTCTACATAACACGAAAGGAAAAGTATACAGGACTTTGGGATGACTACCATGAGTCCATGACCCTTTTCTTGCTAAAAGTCAGATACCTAGATATGGTTGGAATGAAACGTCTACAAATGATCTCAAAATTCCTTTTCTTCCATTCCAAGCCAGGATCAGTCACGGGTTGAACAATGGAAATAATAGGTTTCTAAGTTGCGGATCGCACTTTGCAGACTTTAGGTGAGGACCAGATATGGTCAGTTTAATCAACTCTGAATGGGCGAAAACAAATCAATCAAACAAGTTAGGGTGGAACCGGGTCATTGACCCGTCCTTGGATAAAAAGTTGTACCTGGCAACAGTTAATTTTTTTTTTTTCAACTTAAACTCTCCCTCTCCCCAACAATAGTTACCAATTATTAAAGTTGTGGGCTTCTTCACCCAGAACTCTCCCTCTCCCATGAATGATTTCCAAAAATTTGCCGTTGATTTCCTTCTCGTTCGAAACCCAGTCAAAGTTGTGCAGTGCTTATCGTCTTTTAAATAAATATTTTTTTTTTTTTTTTAACAAACGATATTACTACACTATGGGAAAATGGTGGCTTAACCTCATAATGGGCTAGCAATAATGTGGTTCAAATTCGCCTTTGTCAAAAATTGAACTTAAGACCTCTCACTTACAAGTGAAGAAGAATACCACTAGACCGTAGTACTAATGATTTTAAGTAAACATTCTAAAACAATTATATTTTTTTCTATTTTTTTCCTTTGTGAAATATTTATGGCATCCACATCAACAAAAATATGGACTCCGTGCTTGTCACATCATCACTTAATGAACGTATCAACAAATGGACAAATAGATCTATGATATTGTACGCACAAGTTTGTGTATAACATTGCAATATTTTAAAGACGATGTATGAGATTGCAATTGCAATTGAACCAAACTTAAGGGTGCAAAATATAATTTACCTTTATTTTTATTTACCAAAAAAAAATTATTACTAGTTTTTTCTTTTCTTTTCTTGGTGTCCATACCTTGATGTGGGATCCAGTTCACCAAAGCCCTACTAGGGTACTCTTGGTTACAAAAATTCTCTCTCTCACACATTGTCTTTTATAAATGAGCGGTTGACCAATGAGATTTGGTTCAAACTCAACCTTTTCTTTTTGTGTTTTGATGCGAAGGAGAGCATCATATATCACTCTACTTTAATCTTTGGTCCTCTTTCAATAAAACGGAGACTGAATGCCATAAGACTTAAAACATAGACTACAAAGTTCAGTTAATTTGCTTGGGCAACTAGCCAATATATTGTTCATGAGATTTTCAAGACATTCATAACATAAAATGGAGACCTAATGCCACTAGATGGTCGACATTGGACTTCTTTCAGGCATTTAGGATTGGCTCGTGGCATTTTTACAACTATCAGGCTTCAAGATGTAGTTGATCTTTGGCCCTAACACCTACATACATCATAGTAGGGAAAAGAGAATCGAACTCCAAACCTCAAGCACAAAGATAATTGGTTTTTGACCAACGAACTATAAGATCCATGTGTAATTAAGCACTTAATTAATGAAATACACCTCCAAATTAGACATACAAAATTAACAAATTAAGGCAACTGGTACCGAAGTAAATTAAATGACATATTTCATTCCCATAATAATGAGGAAAACTTTAGTAACTAAATCTTATCACCCCTTAATCAGGCAACATCCATAACAAAGGAAACGATAAATTCCCCACTTACAATTACACAACAATTTCACACTGAATATATAACAAGTACAAAAGCCAAATGATAAAGATGAAAGAAATGAAGGATCATATTTTGTAGCTTTTAGGCACACTGGAAACCTTTGGGAACCTTATTTCCACAAACATTAAGAAGCAAGCTGAGAGAAACTGGAATGTTGAGGTTGATACCCAAAATGTTGGCTTTGAGAGCAGTGCAAAGGCATACAGCAGCCTCAAGGTCAGCAAGGCCTTGGATGAGAGAGCAGCAAGGTTCTACGGGAGGTTTGCCAACGCTGATGTTAAGTAACCCATTGAGGACATTAGCACAAACCCCTAATTTGAGGGTATCTCTAGGGCAGCTGGTGCCAGTGGAAGGACTAGGTTTCGGTGTCGGCTTTGGCTTTGGCTTTGGCTTTGGCTTCGGCTTAGGGCCGGGGCATGTGCCACAAGAACTGACAAGGGCAAAGAAGAAGAGATTGAGTGCAAGGAAGAGAGCAAGTGAGGACGTCGTTTTGGATGCCATCTCTCAAACCCTAGAAGAACTGGGTGTGTAGTTATTGTACTTTCAGTTATACTGGGTAGTAGCACTAATAGATGTGATGGTGTGGGGTGAGGAATTAAGGTGTAGAGGGATTAGGATTTTATAGGGTTCAGGAACGGTGAGGTTTCAAGTTTAAGTTAATAGAAAATTAGAAATGCGCTAAATGATTAATCCGAGCTAGCTCCATGTGTGCCCTTGGGATTTTAGCTGGCAGAGTAAACAAATTAGAGGCAAACTTTTGTATTTTTGTGTGGTGGGGGCTGCCAAATTACCAGGTTCTTGTCTTGGCATAAATCTGTGGATGTATATCTCATCATGCACTGTTCTTGATACCTCAATTTTCAATGAATTATACGGCATCGAAATTTCAGGGTTGGAACCTTTGATCATGACAGTAGTGGGGGCTGAAAAAGTCACATGCATCTTTTGGTAGGGTTCGTTTGACTATCACTAGAAGAAAAAAGCTCATTTACCACGGTGGATGCCCGTGGTAAAGTGCAATCTACCACGGACATCGTGCCCGTTAGTATTCTGGATGTGATAAAAAATCTTTGCTTTTACCAGGACTATGCACGTTGTCAAATGCAATGTAACCATGGATTGTGCCCATGGTAGATTGAGATCTAACACCACGTGCTATGGCCATTATGGATTACAAATTGACCACGGCTAATGCCCGTTATAAAAAGATTTCCAAAAATTAAAAAAAAAATTATTTAATAAATAAACAAGTAATATATATATATATATATATAAAGATATTTATATACAAAATTGCAAATTTACTCTATAAAATTCACATATTCAAATATTACACCAAAAATAACAACAAAATGAGTAGTTATATATATATATATATATTAAGAAATACCAAAATCACCAAAACATGTAGAGGCTTTATTTCACACTATAAAACAAAACTCAAGTCCTAGTTCCAACCTTCGTCCTCCAATGATGATCTTCTTCTCTTCAATCGTTTCTTCCAGAAGACACACATCTCCAGCAAGCCAATCACACTTTAAGTTTGCAAGTGCCTGCAAAACACCAACACTTTTTATCAAGAAAGAAAAATAAGGTCTTTTTTATTATTTTGTGCATAATTAAAACATTCGAACGCATGGTACGTAGTGTCGAATTTGGTAGTTCTTCATATGTTACTGAACATAACCACCAAATCAACAAAAATAATCATTTTCATATCAAGGTATGAAAAAAATTAAAAATACATTTCCATCTGATTCCATCTGATATAGATATACTTGAAGATAAAAATGATCATGCTACGTATTACAAAGAGAAGTTAGATATGTAGGATAGTACGTGACCCGTCCTCTTAAGATAGCCACTAACCTCTCCTCTCTACACTCCTCTACAACTGTTACCTCGCTATGCACAAATTTCTTCAGGTCTGCAGACTTCACTGCAAAGACACTTGCAAAGAAACCAAATGGAAAGAAACAAAAGTAAAAAGAAAGGAACAAACTGATTGTTGCATTCAAACCATGTAAAATAGAGTACGCAAACAAATAAACTCAAGTAAATCTAAACTGATGGGTTTAAGAAAAAAATGCCATTGTCAAGCACAAATTGGTCTCGACAATTTGCTGCTTCATTTCTGTAAGCTTCTTGTGATTGTTACCTACAATACCAACATTCACAAAGGAAAAAATAAATTAGTTACGGCAAAAAAAATTATATGAAATCACCGGTGTAAAATTTGTTGATATTTCCATCACCTAAGATTCCCCTGCTTCATAATTTAACAATCATTGTAGCAACTGACAAAAAGATATTGAGAAAAAAAAGTAGAAAAGAAAAACTGAATTTAAATAACACAGAGAGTTTAAAGTTCAAACAGGTCCTTGAAGATTTAGTGAAGAAACTTACCAGGGGCAGAGAAATATTCCGAAGAGACTGGATAGAACATTGATAGGATTAACATACCACACACCATTGTAGCAGATGCAAATTAAATTATGGGAAACCGGGGAGAGACAAATTATGATGTTTTTTTTTTTGTTTTAAGAAACCGAAGCGGTTGAGCTTTGGAAAAACATGGGAGCGTAGTTGAAAGGGGGTAGAATTTGTTTTTGTTTTTGGAAAAGGGAAAGGAAGATAAAGTGGAAGAGATGGACATGGAAAGGAGATAGAGCAAAAAGTGGATTTGTCAAAAAAATTTGAAATTTCAACAAAAGATGTCTAAAATTTTGCAAAATTTTGGTGTCCCGCCTCCTCCAAATATGTGAATTTATGATTCTATCACACATTATGCTTGTGGTAGATAATAAAAAGACATTGTGGATACTAACAATATTGACCACGAGCATTGTCCGTAGTTACTTAGAATATTTATAACGTGCAACTTTGCGCGTGATTATTAACTACTATTTTATAACGGGCTAAGATTTACCCGTGGTAAAAAATTATTATTCATCACGCACTTACTATGCCTGTGGTAAATTTATACTTTTTACAACGAGCTGATAAAGCCCGTGGTAGAATTCTCGTGGTAGATGAACTGTTGTCTTGTAGTGTATGTAAGAAACATTTTGGTTCACGAGCACTAATATAAACATGTAATTTGGAAGTGCCTTCTACTTCTTCATAAAGGACTTCCACAATCCAGTAGCATTTTTACCTCTTTCAGAAGTGCACAGATTCCCTTAGTTTTAACTGGTTGGACTATGTGATGTGCTTTCTGCGTTTTATGTTTCGCCACACGATATTCAAATGTTTTATAATTAATAGGTAAATTAACTTCGAATCAAATAACCTTGCTTTATTTTGTAAGTAAATTAATTTTGAATCAAATAGCATTCTTGTGTTCTGTAGCTATTTTATTTTGTATGTATCAATATCACATATATATATATATATATATTGCACATTTTATTATTATATGTATATTAGGTAAATTAGTATATTTTTTTATTATGTAGGTAAATTATTTTTCTTGTATTTTGCATATTTGGGTTTGTTATTATGTAGGTAAATTATTTTTCATGTATTTTACATATATTGGGTAAATTCTTTTTTTTTTAAGCAATCTAACATTTTAAAATTTTAATAGTAGGCGCACTATTTGAATCAAATATTTTTTTTTGTAGGTAAATTATTTTGCATGAATTTTACATATATCAGGCATTTATATATATGTATGTATGTATGTGTATGTGTGCGTGTGCGTGTGCGCACGCATGTGTGAAATAATTTACCTACATTAATGTGTAAAATATAATTTTATTGACTTAATTAACCATGTATAATAACATATATTAGACATGTTTTATGTTATTATATATTAGCCAACGAATTTATAACATTAATGTTTTCTTTTTTTGTAAAATCATTACAATCTGCATGAATTATGTACATCAAACATCCAAATAGGGTTAATCAAAAAAAAAATTCATATAGGGGTATTTTAGGAATTTGAATTTTTTAAATGTGTAAACTCAAACATAATTAATGAATTTGCTGATGTGGAATCTAGTCAATGGATTTTATTCAAGTAAAAAACTTATGTCGGGTTTTATGTAGAGAAAATTAAGTTTTAAGAGCTAAAGTTATATTTTCAATTAAAACATACATACAGTTATTGAGACACCCCGACCAAGATTGAGGCATGCTAGTTGTCGCATGAGGGTGACGTAGCCATGTGCACAGTGTGGAAGCAATATTAATATAAGGAATGCGAATAAACAAAAAACCAAACCAACTAGAGCACTAGATAAGATAAGGTGCAAGTGCGATATTAAGTGTGATTGCACAACCAGAGTATAAGTAGCCAAAGTGCATTCCAGCAGGACGAATACGAATTATACAACACCCAAAGGTGATCCTACATCGGTGATAATCTGTCAAAACCTTCGTCAAATCCTCGTAAGCCACCAACAAGCACTCCTACCTAAAACCTGGAGGGGCGCAAAGCAGAAAGTATGAGTGGGCAAAAACAAAGCTTTTCAAAACCATTTCAACATCAAAGATAGTAAACCCTCGCCGTAAAACCTGTATAATTTCCTAGAAAATAGAATATATACATATCTCAAAACCATGCTCAGAATAGTAATATTCAAAAGTATGCCATGCCAAATATCTCAAAATAGCTGAATAAGCAGCTCAGGCGAAATATATTCATGAAAATAACATATCAGCTGGATCCACCTAAAGTGGCTTGTACGGCTGAATCTATAGCTTAACAAGTATGCCTGCACACGAATCAGAACCACCTATAGTGGTCTGTACGACAGGACTGGGTGTAAACAAATACGCTCAAGTGCTACGATCATGTGAAGACTGTGTGAATAATCGCCGGTCACCTACGAGTCGGACCACCTATAGTGGTCTGTACGACAAGACTGTGCACTTAACTTAGATCCAATGTGAGCGTATGGTGAGGGAGGTGAACATCACATGAAGGACCATGCCCTAACCACAGGCGGGAGCACTAACACCAAGGTGCAGGTTTATGAGCTCTCAATGCATCTCAAAATAATCATCAACTCACTTTAACAATTTACAACTCACCTGTCACTTACCTGAGCATCCACAACGTCTAACATAGATATATGTAATTACTATTAGAAGTGGGCAAACGGGTAGAGGAACCGCGGGTCGGGGCGGGTATGGGCTGGTTCCAAATATTTTAGAAACTAAATGGGGGGGGCCGAGTCCTACATCCTAGACAGGGCCCCGAATTGACCCGTTTCTATTTATAATGAACGGTTGAGATTGAATGGGGCCGAGTCCTACATCATTCAATCTGAACCATTAGTTTCAACCCTACCCTTACTGAGTCTAGTCCGGGTTTCCATTTTCCAGATTCATAATTTCAGATCTGTCTCTCGACTCACTCACAGTCACTCACTCCCACCTCTCCACCACCATCTGTCAGTCCATATCCCTCGACTCCGAGTCCGACGCCGCACCAACACAACGGCAGAACCTCGATTCTCTCCTCTTCGAATTCGCACTCTCTCTTTTTCTCGTCGCAGACTCGCAGCCTCTTCGTTCTAAGGTAAAAACCCTAACAAACAATTCGATCTCGCTTCTCTCTTTTATTTGATTCGTATTATTGGTTTCGTATCTGAGTTTCAAGTTTTTAACCCTACCCTTACCGAGTCCAGGTTTCCATTTTCCAGATTCCAATCAGTCTCTCACAGTCAGTCACACAATGGCAGAACCTCGAATCCATATCCATTGACTCAGATGCTGCACCAACACAATGGCAGAACCTCAAATCTATCCTCTTCAAATTCGCACACTCTCTCTCTCGTCGCAGCCTCTTCGTTCTCAGGTAAAAACCCTAACAAACAATCTCGCTTCTCTATTTTATTCTGCTTGCCAGGAAGCCCCCATGGCCACTGTTCTGACTTTCTGATCAATTTAGGTAAACTTGTGTAATGCAAATCCTTTGCATGGTACCTCTTTTGGATTCTTTTTTTTGTTGAGCAGCTATTTGATTTCGTTGCTAAAGACATATGTGCAGTGAATATTTGAGATAGAATACTTGAAGCTAGACCGAATAATTAATTTCAGAAATAGTGTGCAGTGAATGCTAATGTAGGTTACGCATGAATCATAGCAAGGCAATTAGGATTAGGAACACCCAGATTTCTGTATTGGTATTTGGAAGTGTTAAATGAAAGTGGAAATGATGCACATTTCTGATGCACATTTGTGGAACAAACATGCAGCCCTTCTTCATTCACTATTTTGTAAATTGACACCATAACCATATTTAAGCTTGCCTCAATTGTATCACTTTTTTTTTTAGGGCATGAGTGCTCCTTAACAGCTCGGTACAAAGATATCATATCTCAAGTGCTGGACACATATCCGCTGGTGATTCATCACTTATAACAGCTCGGTATTTGTAACTTACTTTGTATTTGTTATGGTTTTCAGTTACCAATTATTTGTTATGATGAGTGTCTGTATGTCTAACATCCTGTTACAATTAACATGCTTTTGTTCTTTGTTGTAGAATATAACAGAAGAAGAGCAGCAAATATTATATCTACACCTACAAGTTCAACAATCTCACCAAGTGTTCCTGAAATTGAAGCTCCTCAAACAAGTCGAACGAATAAAGGAAAAGGAATTGTGGTAATATTTTAAACTCAAATGAATAAACTTTAAATTTCAATGATTCAATGAGAATAGTTTGATGTTGGACGTTAAAAATGTCATGTTTATATACTATTTTTCCTTACAGGTTCAATGAGGAATGTTGTTGGAATGTGGACGTTGGATGTGGTATGATTTTTGTATGTTGATTTGATTTTTAGATGTTGGACGATGTAATGTTGTTATTTTGGATGTATTGTTAATCTATGAATTTGGACGATGTGTTGTTCTTTTGTTTTTTTGGACTCTCGGAATTTGGATGTGTTGTTATTTTGAACGTTGGTACTGCCGTGGTAGAATCATAGAAAGAATCTGTGCAATTGCAACAATCTGGGCAAATGCAATCTGTGCAAAACTGCAAATTGCAGCAATCTGTGCAAATCTGCAAATTGTAGCAATTTGTGCAAATTTCAACAATCTGTGCAGTTGCATTCTATGCAATTTTTTTTTGATAACCCAAAGAAAAAAAAAACCAAGGACCCGTGGACCCGGCCCAAACCGGCCCGTTTCAACTGAGCCGGGTAAGGTCTGGTTCTTATATTCAAAACTATAATGCCGGCCCGGTCCGGCCCGTTTCCTTTGCACCCAGGTCCGGTCCGGTCCCTCCAAAAATGGGCCCGGCCTGGCCCGTGCCCACCCTTAATTACTATACTAATTCATAATCTAAGTATAAATCAATAAGCATGGAATTTCAAAACATAATTTCATTTTAACACATTTTATGGGAAAAATAGCAAGTATATACCAAAAGCCCACTCACTGATATGTGGAAGGGTCGTAGCCCCCAACTCTCGCTTGATTGCGCTCGTTCTCTGGATAGGTCTCACCTATATGTGAAACAACTGTTTGAATATACCACAGTGACCTACTTAACCCCACAAACAACCCCATATTTTTAGAAAAATTTTCCGAACACCCACTCGCAGGCACGTGCCTGGCACAGTGGACGGAATCTATAACGCCGTTAAGGAATATTCCATTAAAATATAGAATATGCCGTAAAATATACCTGACGCCATTAGAATATTCCATCAACTTTGACGGAATATTCGCCTTCTTCTCCGGCGAGTCATCGGATTCCGTCGTCATCGCCGGAAACTGGAAAAAACGTTATAATCGTCATATCTTCTTCAATTCTTAACCAAAATTCACGAATTTTATACCAAAATGAAGCTTATGATGAGAGGAACAAAATCTTACTAGTTTTAGTCCTAAAACTCACTAGATTTATGCGGAAAAATTACGATAATCCGGCCACCTCTGTAACTTGTCAAACCCAAGCTTCCTAACATCCAAAACACTTCAAAATTCTTCCTTCAGCTTCGTCAACGAGTTCTAAGGCTCCTTAGGACCTTAAAACTCAATGAAATCTTCGCGATCACGTTTGAGCTA